AAAAAAAAAAAAAATTAGGTTTCCACTCAGTGATGTCAATGTTTCTTTCCATTAAAAAAAAAATTATTTCAATATTTATTTGTTTTTGAAAGACAGAGCGCGAGCAGGGAAGGGGCAGAGAGACAGGGAGACACAGAATCCGAAGCAGGCTCCAGGCTCCGAGCTGTCAGCACAGAGCCCGACACAGGACTCGAACTCACAGACCACGAGATAATGATCTGAGCCGAAGCTGGATGCTCAACGGACTGAGCCCCACCCCCTGCGTCCTGCCATTTTCTTTTTCTTTTTCTTTTTTTTTAGTTGTAGCTTTCCTGACATTAGCGTCATCCTAGGGCCTTATCCCCTGTGATCATAAAATGATTCAATCGCTCATCCAGGGTCACGTATTTCCTGCCCACATCCAGAGAAAGCATGCCTACTTCAGTCACCCCTCAGAAGCCTTGGGCTTCGTTACGAAGGGACCCACTTACCTTTTCTTTCTGACCCTGAACCAGTCTCACTCTCACGGTGGGAGACTCTGACCAGCTTCTATGAGGATACTTGTGTGGGTCCTTGTGACTGGCTGAGGCCCACTCACGTAGCTCGAATAGAATCATTCCCACCAAGAATCCTAAGGGTGCAGTAGAAGTGATTTTTCAAAAGAAAAAAAGGAAAGTCGAGTGGATCTTGAGTAGACTTCCAACTAATGTTTCCTGCACAAAGCTCTTTAAAATTGCACCTCGGGGGCGCCTGGGCGGCTCAGTCGATTGAGCACCTGACTTCGGCTCAGGTCACGATCTCGCAGTTCGTGGGTTCCAGCCCCACGTCAGGCTCTGTGCTGACAGCTCAGAGCCTGGAGCCTGCTTTGGATTCTGTGTCTCCCTCTCTCTCTGCCCCTCCCCTGCTCACGCTCTGTCTCTCTCTATCTCAAAAATAAACAAACATTAAAAAAAAAATTAGATGGCACGATGCCATACTCAGATGAAAGGTATGAATTAAGTGGATTTACCTAAAAAGCAGGGAAGATTGAAAGTAAGTGAACTAAGATTTCAAGAACTCAAGAAGGTAGAAAGGGAACATGAAAGTAAGCTCAAGGCCTGAGGAATTATTAAAGGTGGGAGTAGACATTCATCGTCAAAGGGAGAGGGGAAAAAAATGAAATCGACTAGTAAAACTAATAAATCTGGTTCTTTGGCTAGTCCAATAAAATAGGCTAATCTTTGGCAAGTCCGATGAAGAAAAAAAAAATGGGGGGTGGGAAGAAAGAGAGAAAAGAAAAAGAAAGAAAATACAAAAAACATTAGGGGTCACGACTACAGATACGGAGATTTTAACAAACGGTAAAAGCATAAGTGTTCAAACTTGCGATACTACATTTGAACAGCTACATAAAGTAGATATTTTAATTAGAAAATATCAATTAATTGGGACACCTGGCCGACTCAGTCAGTGGAGTATGTGACTCTTGGTCTTGGGGTTGTGTGTGTGAGCCCCACACTGGATGCAGAGATTAAAGATAAAATCTTTTAAAAAAATATTAAGAAAGAAAATATCAGTTACCAAAACTGACTCAACATCAGAACTGACTTAAGGGGGGAGGATCAAAAAATTTGACTCAAGAAACCTCAACGGACCAAAAATGATAGTAGGAATTGGAAAGGTATTCAGGAAGCTATCTCCCAAATGGCATCAGGTCCAGATGGTTTTATGGGTCCACCTAACCTGCATTGAACAGAAAATTCCTATAATCTCTAACTTATCCAGAGAATATAACATTTTCTAACTTAATTTATAAGGGCAGCATAACTCTGATAACAAAACAAAACAAACAGAACTCAAGGTGGCTCAGTCGATTAAGCGTCCAACTTCAGCTCAGGTCATGATCTCACGGGTTGTGAGTTTGAGCCCCGTGTCCGGCTCTGTGCTGTCAGCTTGGAGCCTGGAGCCTGCTTTGGATTCTATGTCTCCCTCTCTCTCTACCCTCCCCAGTTCATGCTCTCTCTGTCTCTCAAAAATGAATAAATGTTAAACCAAATTAAAAAAAAAAAAAAGAAATCTATGGGCCACTTTTATTTTCTAACTTAGATGTAAAAGTTTGTATTTTATAAGTAGGCTCCATGCCCAATGCAGGGCTTGAACCCACAAACCTGAGCTCAAGACCTGAGCTACTATCATCTATAAAGAACTCACCAAACTCCACACTGAAAAACAAATAATCCAGTGAAGAAATGGGCAGAAGACATGAATAGACACTTCTCCAAAGAAGACATCCAGATGGCCAACCGACACATGAAAAGATGCTCAACGTCACTCATCAGGGAAATACAAATCAAAGCCACACTGAGATATCACCTTATGCCAGTCAGAAACGCTAAAATGAACAAATCAGGAGACTATAGATGTTGGAGAGGATGTGGAGAAACGGGAACCCTCTTGCACTGTTGGTGGGAATGCAAACTGGTGCAGCTGCTCTGGAAAACAGTGTGGAGGTTCCTCAAAAAATTAAAAATAGAGCTACCCTACGACCCAGCAATAGCACTGCTAGGAATTTACCCAAGGGATACAGGAGTGCTGATGCATAGGGGCACTTGTACCCCAATGTTTATAGCAGCACTTTCAACAACAGCGAAATTATGGAAAGAGCCCAAGTGTCCACCAACCAATGAATGGATAAAGAAGATGTGGTTTATATACACAATGGAATACTACTCGGCAGTGAGAAAGAATGAAATCATGCCATTTCCAACAACGTGGATAGGACTGGAGAGTGTTATGCTGAGTGAAATAAGTCAGGCAAAGAAAAACAGACACCATATGTTTTCATTTGTATGTGGGTCCTGAGAAACTGAACAGAAGACCATGGGGGAAGGGAAGGGGGAAAAATAGTTTCAGACAGAGAGGGAGGGAGGCAAACATAAGAGACTCTTAAATACAGAGAACAAAC